AAAAAAAAAAAAAAAAAAAGTTGTAAGTCCAGCTGAATAAAACATATGCAGGGCTCTGTAATGCAAACAACCCACAGACTTGTTTCTAGTTTGTAGCGCTACAACATAAAATTAGAGAATTATGAGGCGAGTGATTTTCACTCAGCCTCATAATCTGAGCCGACCTGTGACAATTAAACTGTCACAGGTTGGCTCAGTAGATCGTGAAGTGAGGGAACACATACCGTCGCTCGCTCACTTCTCGATCTATCCCTGCAGAGAGCCGTGACTGTCGCTCACAGCTCCCTGCAGAGATTCCCCCCCTCCCCTGTCCAGCGCTGACTGGCAAAACGGACAGTGGAGGGGGGTGGGCACCGCTGGCTCTGCCTCTGGATAGGCAGAGCCAGCTGTCAATCCCGCAGCTAAGTGGGTCCAGACAGTATTGTCGGGATCCGTCCCGGCTGCAGCATCTCAGTATACCGCGAGCTGTAGCTCGTGGTATACTGAGCTTTGGGTCACGGGAGGGCGCTAGTTTGTGTTCTCCCGTGACCCTTAGGAGAACTATGGGGAAAAGCCCTGACCCCATAGTTCTCCTTTAAATGTATTTCACTGGGATTTTATGTCACTGACTTACAAAATAGGTCATAATGTATAAGGGCCCTTTCAGCAGCACGCAAAAATGCTCGGCTGGTGTTTGCTGGGTGGTAACATTATTACACAAGGCACCACTAAACAAGACATTGTTAACCTTTTTTTAAAAAATTTATGTGGAGTGTACAAAGTGTACATTCCTTTCAGCTCCTTGCATATCAATGCAGTATGATGTGCTATCGTAGCCTTCAGTGCCATCCAGTGCGCGGTGGAAAAAATGCAGCATGTAAGCGTTTATCTGCACCGCACATCACACCAGTGAAAAATGCCAGTCACCACAACTGGTGTCAAAGAGCACTAAGTGGAAAATCTCTACATAGTTTTCCAAACTAATAACAAATAACTGCAAGCGTAATAAAAAAAAAAAAATCTCTGGTTGAAGCAACTGTCTTACAACACATCACTGTTAAATTGGAGTACACCTATAAGACCATCTTCATGCCTTCCTTCTGGGGCCCCCGTTGTATGTTATGCATTCATTTGTTTTGTTATAATTTACACTTTTACCAGGCCTGGGTATAACCCCTTCCATGACCAGCATGCTTTAGTTTTTGTAGCAAGCATTACCAAGAGCGATGGGCAATAGCAGTGAGGTGTGGAACCTGTGTCCCTCAATAGACTCCAATAAAGAGGATTTTACAGGGAGAACATAACTGCTTTTTTCTGTTTCATCCTTTTGAGGAACGCAGGATTCATAGACAAGTTGGACAAACAAAAACAGCAACACAGGTGAACAGATTGCCACTGTGTCCTTCAATAAATGAAAGAGAATCAACATAAAATATTGCTTACCTTTTACATGCTTTGTTGCAGCAGGCAAGATAGCCGATTCCAGGTTTTTCTTAGTACCTTCACAGTGATCTGTCCTTCCACTCATTAACATACAAAAGGCAAGCCAGGGTTGTAATCCTTTAACTCCTCACCTGACTACGCTGACCAATAAGAAGCACTTCTCAGTGCTTTTCACTGGTCAACATGGTCAGGTGACCATGCTGACAAATGAGTGCTCGCTGGAAAGAAGATGATCGGAGCAAGAGGCATCATTTAAAGGTAAGTCCATACACCAACGTAGGGAGAGGAGGGCAAAAAATGTGACTTTAATGATGTCCTATTTATATTCTCAACTTGTCTAAAATTGGGCAATTACTAGTGCTTTGTAGTACTCACCAGGAGAAAAAAGGTGCCCGATGCCATTGAAGGTTCTGGTTTTTGGACTCAGAATCACTAGGGTGGAAGTGATGTCACTACCGCTTACCGCAATAAGCGGCAGAGTGAAGTGATGTCACTTCTGGGTGTTGTGCATTCCAAAGTTTCTAATTTGCTCTTGCTCGGCCATGTGAATCCAGGACCCAGCTTCTGGGCACTCGGCCCAGCGGCAGCACAAAGTTGGGCTGGTAGGGACTGGCAACATGGAGATGCTATCTCCTCTACAAAAAGACTAGATGCCGCAAGACGTAGAACTTGCCTCATGTATGCTCAGCTTAGACAGTGGGAACACAGATCCTCCTTTTTATTAAGAAAATATGTGATAGTTACCATTTCATTTGCCTCCAAGTGGTTTTCTTCAAAGTCATGAAGAATCTTCTTTCTTTCCTCTAAGAACAAAAAACACATTTTATGTCAAGATTTCTATAAGCAAAAAGAGATACAAATAAATTGCAACTAAAAATAACTACTTTTACATGGTCGCGGGTTATTTTAGAAGCAAGCCTGTGTCCAGACAGGTTTGAAAAATAGCATGCAAACTGTACACCTTACAGGTGAAACTCGAATAATTAGAATATCGTGCAAAAGTAATTGCAGTACGTGCTGCAAAAGGGGCCCAAACCAAGTACTGAGTACATATGCATGCTTGTACTTTTCAGAGGTCCGATATTGTTCTATGTACAATCCTTGTTTTATTGATTGCATGTAATAATCTACTTTTTTGAGGTTGTGGATTTGGGGTTCTTGGGGTTTTCATGAGCTGTAAGCCACAATCATCACAATTATGACAAATCACGGCTTGAATTATCTTGCTTTGCATGTAATGAGTCTATCTCATATATTAGTTTCACCTTTTAAGTTGCATTAGTGAAATAAATGAACTTTGCACGATATTCTAATTATTCGAGTTTCACCTGTATATATAGGGGGAATACCTGACTGAGGGTGCTGTAGCATGCAAAAAATGTCTAAAACCCAGACTTGTAAAAGCACTGCAATCACATTGTGGGACCCGATTCTTGGACCCTCCTCCTGGAGAGCAGAGTGAAAATACAAGATGGCAATTCCCTGCCCAATTAGCTTTTCAAGTCTCCTTTGTGCAGCTACTTAAATTTTACAGCGTAATTAATTATGAACTTAGCGATTTGTATACACAGCTATGTAAAACGCATCATTTACATTCCATAGCCCGTCAGAGAGATCATGCAATACTTCCCTCCCGGCACGGATACAGACATAAGTGGAACAACTCGGTGAGGAATAGGGTTGGGGAAGAAGGTTGAAAACATGAATGCTAGAAGGTGCGTGGTTGAATTTAAAAATAAGATTTCTCTGCTGTCACAAAGTCCACTGAGGTGACAGCAAGCTCTCATTTTAAAGCTGAAGTCTAATCTGCTTATATTATGCCTTGCCTGGTTCCTCCTTTCTCATCCCATCAACACACTAACAAAAAGTGGAAGTAAAATAAGTGCCGTCGCTGGTGTCAGTGTGATTAAAAAAGGGAGAGCACAATGAACCTCGTCTTTGGTGGCAGAGGGAGGAATGTTTAACTCCAGCCCAGCCTTGGTGCCAAGTAGACAGGAGACTGGGCTTGGTGTGAACAGTTTGCTTGAGTTCGCCCAAGCCCCGTCAAAACTCTTGACAGCAACCCCCTCCTCCCAACACAATCAGTTGCTGGGAGGTGCATTCATTACAATGGGGTAGGGAACACTCCTGATGCAACTGCTACCACAGATTGTGTCAGGAGGAGGTGGTGGCAAGAGTATTGAGTGGGCTTGGGAGAACTCAGGGGAGTGATGTGTGTGGGCTTGGTGCAAACTGAGTTCGCCCAAGCCCACACAAAATTGTTAGTGATGCAACCCCCTCCTGGCCCAATCAGTTGTAGCTGGGGCATTCCCCAACACACAGCTACATGTAACAAAGGGAAGTGGAATGCCCCAGCCATAACTGAATCCGGTTTACACCAAGCCCACGCTTATCCCAAGTGTTAAGTGACACTAAACTCAGGAAATAAATCCTAAAAATGCATTCAAGGACCTTAACGGTTAACAAAAATGTATCATATTTGTGTATCACTCGGCTGTAGATCCTCAAATCATCTCTGAATTGGTGCTGACACCGTGCTTGCTTCTTAACGGTGGCTACTTTTGTTCCCCATGGTCCCTGTGTGTGTTATAAAGTAGTCACCGCTCCAAACTCACTCCCATGATGGACTACAATCTCATGTGTAGTTTACTAATTTGTATTGAGTATTGTAGTCCATCACAGGAGTGATCCTGGAGCAGTGGCTACTTTGCAACACACACAGGGACCATGGGGAACAAAAGTAGCCACCCTCCAGAAGGAAGGACAGTGTCAGCACCAATTCAGAGATGATTTGAGGATCTACAGCCGAGTGATACACAAATAAGATACATTTGTGGTTAATAGTTAAAGGAGAACTATGAGGTGAGTGCTTCTCACTCACCTCATAGTTCTAGCTGACCTGTGACAATGAGACTGTCACAGGTCGGCTCAGTAGATCGGGAGGTAAGCGAACACATACCAGCGTTCGCTCACCTCTCAATCCTGTCACGGCTCTCTGCCGTGACAGGGGAGGGGCTGGATTCCCCGCTCCCATCCGCCAGCGCCGACTGGCAGGACGGACGGGGGAGGGGGCGGGTACAGCTGGCTCTGCCTCTAGATAGGCAGAGCCAGTTATTACTCACGCAGCTGGGCGGATCTCGACATCGATGTCGAGATCCGCTCCGGCGTCTCAGTATACCGTGAGCTGTAGCTCGCGGTATACTGAGCCTAGGGTGACGGGAGGACGCTAGTTTGTGTCCTCCCGCTACCCTAAGGAGAACTATGGGGAAAAAACCCTGACCCCATAGTTCTCCTTTAAGGTACTGGAATACATTTCTAAGGTTTAATGAAGAACTCCATGATTTTTTTTAAATTAACCCTTGCAGTGGCGCTACCAGGGTTAAAAATGAAAAGAAAAAAAAAATTATACTTACCTGAAGCTCCAAGCCTACTTCTTCCTAGACCGGTCCTTCTAGTGTCTCTCACCCTCCTCTGCAGCCATCTAAGGTCCCATAAATCATCACATCTATACACAGTGAATAGACAGGAGGACACGGAGGAAGACTCCAATGCTGCAGCGTAGGAACAGACAGGCAGGAGGGAGGGTTGTCTCAGCTGGCTTGCTCAGAGCTTCGGGTGAATATAACTTTTTTTTCTCTCCCAAGAACCAAACGAGCACTCAACCTGTTTGTAGCCCCACTGCAAGGGTTAATACATATTTCCTGGAGTTCTTTAACTCCTGAGTTTAGGGTCACTTTAGGTGATGTTACTTACCTGACCACACACTCTCACAATGCCATGCCAGCATCATTTCCAATGAACCAATTCCGGCACTTGGAGCCCTGCTGGCACTGTTAGCTCAATACCCTGGAGGAGACAATGAGGAGAATTTATCAAAATCTGGAACAGCCAAAACCTGGAGCAGCTGTGCACGGCGACCAATCAGCTTCTCTGTTTATTTTCAAATCTTACCTGAACAAACTGAAGAGAGAAGCTGATTGGTTGCCATGGGCAACTGCTCCAGATTCTATCTGCTGCAGTTTTGATAAATTAGCCCAATGTGTGACAGGGTCTAAAATCCCAGATCTGTCCAATAGGATCCACAACACCTGCCAATTATACATAAAAGGGCTCTAAATGGGCTGTACAAAAGGTATAAACACAGGAACATAGCAGACAGAATTTGACAAATAACCTGAGCAATTCAAATTCAACATCCACACACGATACCAGAGGATGTCCTACAAATGTCTGCTCTGACATCTCAGCTGTAACCTCAGTCACTGCTCCCAAGTCATGTACAATCACCTCCATGACGATTCTTGAGCTTCTCGGGGATCTCCTGCAAATGGTCATAACGAACTCTAAAAACATCGTGAATGGCCTCAAAGTGCTCGGAAGACATTGAAACGAATATTTATAATCAGCCGCATCGGTTTGTTTTCGTTTTAGTTGGTTTTTTTCCCCTTACAGAGACCCAGTAATCTCACGTGACCATGACGATTTCATGCTCACGTGATATTGCTTGAGAGGCATCACATGACTGCTTACTAGCGCCCTTCCTGAAAAGATAAACTAGTAGATGTTAGGACGTAGTTCAGCTGGAGGGGCGGAGACTTCGAGGGCACGTGACCGATAATTTACACGGCAGAGCGGAGCGACTTAATCACCGCAATCTCAGGCAGGGACGCATGCGCAGTATGGCGCTTTAAACTGCGTATCGTTTTGACAAACTCCTGGTGTTCTGTCGAGAAAGCCGACCCAGTCGAATTTGCCGATCTGGCCATCTGCGCATGCGCACACACCTGGCTAAACGAGAAAACCGCCGTTTATTTACAAAGTAAATTGTTAATTTTGACTGTTCATAATATGAAATCAATGGCTGTAAATGATGGATGGCATTTTATGCACATTCACAATTCATATCATATATAATATACATAATGATGTAATTGGTTACGATGTTAATTGTGAATGTGCATAAAATACCATCCATCATTTACTGCCATAGATAGCCTATTATGAACGGTCACAATTAACAATTAGAAATCAATACTTTGTAAATAAATAAGTTTTCTCGTTCATCCCGGTGTGTGCGAAGATGGTCAGGTCAGCAAATTCGACTGGGTTGGCATTCTCGACAGAACACCAGACTTCGTTAGATATCTGGACCGCGTCCACGCAAGCGCAGAAGAGATGATTGGGTCCAGAAATTTCACAGGCCATTTGCCTGTATTGCGCATGTGTCGGGAAGCGTGTCCAGATAATTTAGGCTCCATTCACATATAGCGTTTGCGTGTCCTGCACGGTTTTCCATGCAGAAGACCGTGCAGGACGAAAATGCAAAAAAATGTAATCCGCACGGATGCAGCTCATTTGCGGCTATTAAATAGCTGCGAACGTGTGGAATCCGCCGGATTATTGCCCTTGTACTATTTTGTGGTCCACGCAGTACAAAACCATAGTACCAAAACACAATAGTCTGAACAATGCACATTAAAGTGCATTGTTTTCTCTGTTTAGAGCTGCTCTGCGCGTATTCGTACAGTCGAATACGCGCGGACAGCTGCTCCAGTGTGAATGGAGCCTAACAGGCAAGGCACCGCTTCCTGCCTGTTAGGCAATTGGCAGGACCCAAATCTGTGGGCCCAATCTTCGGGTCTGAGCATGCGTAAGCCAACGCCCCCGCCACGCATCCTCCCAGATCAGCGTCTCAGAGCTTGTGCGTGCAGCTGACGCCCCCTCCATGCCCCCAGAAGTGACACGTGGGTCCAGCTTTCTAACGGGTCCAGGATTCTACCAGAACACCTGGCTCATTAATCGGTGGAGGAGCAAACAGAAAAATAGGGTGTTTTTCTGCAAATGTTATCA